TGCCTGGTGAAGGTGACGGGTCAGGAAGCTGCCCGAGTGTGTGTGGTGGAGGTGGTCATTTTCCCCATGATTAGATAAGCAACTCCCAAATTTCTGGAAAAATTTAAAGAAGGAAAAATATAAAGGAAAGTTATCCGTAATCTCACCTGTGATACCTGATGGTCTCAGTTTGGCAACTCTCTTTCCAGCGTCGGGTATTTAAAAAATAACTTTAAGATAGATATCATTTTTAAAATCTGAAGATTTGTTTCACTTATTTGCTTTTTAAAAATAATTCGTAAAACTTTCTTCCAAACCATACCATGTTCAGCTTTCGTTCTGCACTTTACTTCTGGACATGACGTGCACGTTCATGCGTGCTCTCGCCTTGTTAGCGGGTTTGTTGGTGTGGTTGCATGTGAAGGGGGACAGGTGAGAAGTGCTCTCACCGCTCGAATGTCGCACAGATGAAGGCTGCGGAGCTGCACCTGGCCCAGCCTGGGGGCTCCCTCCGCCTCTCCGGCCCCCCGAGCTGCCCCCTGGGCTCCACCCAGCCCTGCTCTCCAGGTTCCCGGCCCAGCCCGTGGCTGGCTTAGGTGGGTGAGTGTCAGTGTCCTCAGCCCCTGACCGCTGTGTCCTCCTGCTGGTGGGCGATACAGAGAGGCCGGTCAGCCCCATCCTCTCTGCAGCTGCCTGTGGACAGCGGGGCCTGGCTGCGTCTGTCCTGCTCAGTCTCTGCGGGGACTTGCAGAGCAGACTTCATGCCTGACGCCTGGTTTGACCCCAGCACCGACAGAAACAAGCAGACCCCGCTCTCCAGGGCCCCATGTGCCTACTGTGCTCTTAGACCCAAAGCTAAGTTTTCCTCACCATCTTGGCTCTAAGGCGCATTAAGTGCTCGTTCTCATCCACGTGAGGCCGCCACCGTGTCCTCCCTCTGAACTTTCATGTCTCCAGATGGGACTCGGTCCAGCCCTCGGCCGCCCCTCGGGCTCCCCGGCCCGGCGGATCTGACCTTCCCTCTAGACGCTGTTGCGTTGACCCAGGGCTTCCCGGTGCTCCAGGGTCCTCTTCCCCTCTCAGCGTTTCTGGTCACACCGCGAAGTCCCTTTTGCCCTGTAGGCGAGGTCTTCTCACGCTCCGGAGATGAGGGTGTGGGCGCCTTGGCAGGACTGGATGGCGGTTTCCCCGAGTGGTGCTATGGAATGTGTGTCAGAACGGTCATCGCGAATCTCGCTGTGTGTCACAGTCTGTGACATTTAAGTCATGTGGGCACCCATGGGGACACTCCCGTTGGGCGGGGTTGCAGCTCAGTGGCAGAGTGCCCGCGAAGCATGTTTGATCCCCAACACCTTAAAATACCCATTTTACAAACAGGGAGGCTGAGGTCAGGGAGTTCATGTGGATTCCCAGGTCACACGCTGACCAGCAGAGGAGCAGGTGTCCCAGGCTGGGTCGCTGCAGGGCTTGTTTTTTTAAAAGGTGGATTTTGAAACTTTTAGTGAAGTGTAACCTATGTGTGGTCAAGCACAGAAACCTGAAGTGGTCAGGGTGAGGGATTTTCACATACTTACACGTGTGCACAAACGTGATCCGCGTGGCTTCCACCTGGAGCAGGGTGACTGGTCTCCCTCGTGCTCCTCCCAGTCCGTCCTTCCTCAGGGTAACTGCTGCCCTGACTTCTATCTTTGTGTGTGTGTGTTTTTTTTCTTGTTTGCTGTTCTAGAACTTTCTACAGCTTGTGCTCACTCAGTCCCACAACTGAGATTGTCCTCGTTCTTGCCATCTTGGCGCCCTGTGGTTTGTGGGGTGCAGACACTACGCTGCAGACCATCTCGTGTGCTGGGTGGACGTTGCGTCTGTCTGTCTTGCGTTTTTCCCGTGGGGTGGGATGGCAGGTGGACGTGCACTCAGCGAGCTAGGTCTGTCCTTATCCAGAGCCGCTCGGGTTCCAAGGCGCAGAGGTAGGTACCGGGCTGCCGCGTGGGCCCCGCTGGCCCTAGCGTGCTGACCTCGGGCCGTGTCTGCACGCAGGTCAGGACCGTGTGGTGATTGCCGACGATCTCCCGCACCCCTTCGGCCTGACGCAGTACAGCGACTACATCTACTGGACGGACTGGAACCTGCACAGCATCGAGAGGGCCGACAAGACCAGCGGCCGGAACCGCACCCTCATCCAGGGCCACCTGGACTTCGTGATGGACATCCTGGTGTTCCACTCCTCCCGCCAGGATGGCCTCAACGACTGCATGCACAACAACGGCCAGTGTGGACAGCTGTGCCTCGCCATCCCTGGCGGCCACCGCTGTGGCTGTGCCTCGCACTACACCCTGGACCCCAGCAGCCGCAACTGCAGCCGTAAGTACCTGTTTCCCGGAGCTGGCCCTGGGCCTAGGGGAGAGGCGCTTCCCATCGGGGGCTCCCCTGGTGTACGTGGTGGTTGTGCAGGCCGTGCACTATACGAGCTTCGGGGTGTGTTCTGGCGGTGCAGGCTGGGAGAAGGATCTGTTGCTTTAGTGAGTCACGACTGACCGGGCCGTGCCCTTGGCTGGCAGAGTTCTCACAGGGAGCCCTGAGTTGGTACAGGTCTCTGGGCAGCGCTCACCTGTGCTGCTCTCACGGCTTTCTACAGTGCCATCCCGGAGCTACAGGGCAGGTAGCGGCCCCTCCCCATTTCTCAGACAAAGAACCTAAAGCACAGAGATGTGTAGGGACCCTCCTCAGGCGGCACAGCTGGGGAAACCGCAGCCTGGCTTGACTGCACACAGGCTGTCTTCACAGTCCCCGGGCCTCACCTAACCCTGCTGACCCCTGGTGTGGGCGGGCCTTGTTGTTCTCACGTGAGTGATGATGAGAAGAGTGAGGTTCCAGAGCCCAGACCGTCCCGCAGCCCCGGGGGTGCAGGCGATCCTGCCGCAGGCCCTTCTGTGGTGCCTGCAGCAGGCGTTGGTACCTTGGCCTCTGCTCAGCGCCTGACCATTCACAAAGCCCCTTCTTGTCCAGCTTCTCAGGACCCCAGGCTGGTATGCGGTGGGCCTGGGGCCAGAGCTGCACTGTCCAGGGCCTTGGTCCCGTCGTTCTCATGCCCTCCTGGCCATGACCTTGAGGGGCAGGGGCAGGGCAGGACGGTGCATTGACTCAGAGTCCCTGCCGACCTGGGCGTGACTTGGATTTCAAGCCACCCAGAGGGGCCCTTGAACGGTGGCTGTAGCTGTGGCCTCTCACAGGTGCTGGTGCCTCTGAACCTCAGCCTGGGCTCTGCCCTCTGGACATGGATTCTCGGCCATGGGGGAAGGAGAGACCATCCTATTTTCTGGTCCCTCTGAAAGCAGTGTCTCGGGGACCTCGTGCAGTGAACGGAGGGGAGGTTAGGGACACCCGGGTCCTTCCCAACCCTGGGCTCCCTTGGAAACTGGGCTGCTGGAGACCGTGCCTCACCAGCCCAGGAGTGGCCCCGAGCCAGCCTGACTCCTGGCTCCACCCCCTCCTGTCACCCGCTGCTCCCTGACTCTCCAGGGAGCGTCCTTCCTGCTGTCACCGTTCTCTAGTTTATGGCACATCACTTGAGCACACGCAGGCATAGAGGAAACCACAGGGTCATCCCAACATCGCCTACTCCTGTGGGGAGTCTGGTACTCGCTGACATTACTTAACTTCCTTCCGTTTCCAGATTTTTTTTTTTTTTGGTACTGGGGATTGAACTCAGGGCACTTGCCCACTGAGCCACATCCCCAGCCCTATTTTGTATTTTATTTAGAGACAGGGTCTCACTGAGTTGCTTAGGGCCTCACTGTGGCTGAGGCTGGCTTTGATCCTTGTCTCTCAGCTTCCAGGGCTGCTGGGATGACAGATGCGCACCACCGTTCCCAGCTTTGTCTTTAGTTTTGATGACATTTGGTCTCCTTTTTGTGCAGCCCTGGGGATCGAGCCCAGGCCCTCGAGCATGCTAAGTAAGCCCTCCACCTTTGAGCCCCACCCAGCTTGATGACGTACAATAAGTGTGTACGCCACTAGCGCACACACTTTGGAGTGACAGAGTCGAACCCCCATCACGCACCTCGGGGAGCAGCCTGTGTCTGCTTGGTCTTCTCCACGCGCCGTCCGCTGGATGCAGAGGCTGGGTGGCTTTGTGATCCTGGGAGCGCTGTGCACCCGCCACCCTCAGCCTGCAGTGCTGACCCCCAGCCCCGTCTCTTTGCCCTCCTCCAGCACCTTCCGCCTTCTTGCTGTTCAGCCAGAAATGTGCCATCAGCCGCATGATCCCCGACGACCAGCGCAGCCCGGACCTCATCCTTCCCCTGCACGGTCTGAGGAACGTCAAGGCCATCGACTATGACCCGCTGGACAAGTTCATCTACTGGGTGGACGGGCGCCAGAACATCAAGCGAGCCAAGGACGATGGGACGCAGGCAGGTGCCCCGGGGCACAGGGCGGGCACTTCCCAGGAGCCTGTCCTGGCAGCGCCCAGGCTGTGCCCTCTTTCTTGAATGGAGGTGTGTGTGGGAGGAGGCTGCCGAGGACGACCCGGAGTAGTCAGTGTTTGGGGCTCTGACTGTGGTTGCAGGATGGACCCTGGGGGTGAGGGACCCTGGCATAGCGAGGTGTGGAAACGGGGTGTCCCATTGTTGAGGTGGGCATGTGAGGTCAGGCCCCGGGAGCTCTTCCTCTCCAAGGAGGCCTCGTGCTGTGTGGTGCTTGGTGATGGCGACTCCAGCTGTACCTTTGCTTCACAGGAAAGGTGCAGTCGGTTCCGTAATGCTGCCCGCACTCCTGGAAGTCACCACACTGCAGATGGCACAGCAGAAAGGCCGGGCTATGGGCAAAGGGGGCAGGGCAGGACCCTCAGTGACATATACAAAACAGGTCATGCATGTGATTCTACGGCAGCTCCGTTTCTCAGACTCTCGGCCAGTGCAGGAAGGCCTGGGGCTGCTCATAGGCACGAACCTTGTTAGCAGCTGTGGTTTTGCGATGGCGGAGAGAGGCTGGTGCGAGTGGCTAGAGTCCTGACCCCGGTGGGGGTGAGTGGAGGGGTCACTGTCACAGCGCCGGGTGTGGGTTTCCACACGTTCCTTGTGCTTCTCACTAGTGAAACTGGGCAAAAGCCAAGGTCCTGTCTCCTGAGGTGTCACTAGTGGCCGTGGAACCAATTTGCATTTTCAAAAGGAGCCTTCCTGCGGAACTGTCCAGTGGGGGGCCGGTTCCGGGAATGATGTCCTCACTCTCATGTGGATAACCCGCTCATGTTTCCAAAGACACATTTTGTAAAAGCTTTAGAACCACAATCCCTGTCCCCATCCAGCTGTCAGTGAGGAGCTAATGACATTGTAAGGAAATCTCCATGGCTTTGTCACAGCGGGGAGAGGGGTGCTCGCTCGGGGAGGTCCGGATGATTCTTGTGTGGTTGATTTTTTTTTGTCCTGCACACTGATTTGGAGGCCACCGCCGTCTGCTCAGGCTGGACATCTCTTTTGTCAAAATGCTTCCGTGGCACAGTACCTAGTCAGGGCAGGGGGCCCACGTCCTTGGAGATGGTAGAAGCCGGCAGGATGGGTGGCAGCAGAGCGGCGGGGATCAGTGGCCCTGGCAGCCTGATGAGAAGATGATTCCTTTCATCTCCCTGGTGCAGGGGGCAGTCAGCATGAGCCCTTTGGGAAAAGGGAAGGGTTGATTGACAAACTGTGGCTTCCCTGCTGAGAAAGCTCCTGGGTGCAAATTGCCTTTAAGTCCCCCTAAAGACAAGTCTTTCATGGTGTCCAGGGTGACAGGACCAGTGACAGGCCTTGAAGGGGAAGCTGCTGAGGAACAGCTTCTGGGGCTACCTCATTTGCAAATGCTATTCCCTTCCTGTGCCTCTGGCTCGTCCCTCCCTTCCCTCCTGTACCCCTGGCTCTTCCCATTTTTCCTCTGCCCCTGGCTCTTCCCATCCTTCCTTCCTCTACCCCTATTTCTTCCCTTCCTTCCTGTGCTCCTGGCTCTACCTTCCCTTCCTTCCTGTACCCTTGGTTCTTCCCTTCCTTCCTGTACCCTGACTCTTCCTTCCTGTGCCCCTGGTTCTTCCCTCCCTTCCTTCCCGTGCCCCTGGTTCTTTCCTCCCTTCCTGTTCCCTGGTTCTTCTCTTCCTTCCTGTGCCCCTTGTTCTTCCCTCCCTTCCGCACTGTGCTCTGGCTCTTTCCTCCCTTCCTTCCTGTGCCCCTGGTTTTTCCCTTCCTTCACCCCTGGTTCTTCCCTCCCTTCCTGTGCCCCTGGCTCTTCCCTCCCTTCCTTCCTGTGCTCCTGGCTTTTCCTTTCCTTCCTGTGCCCCTGGTTCTTCCCTCCTTTCCTTCCTGTGCCCCTGGTTCCTCCCTCCTTTTCTTCCTGTGCCCCTGGCTCTGCCCTCCCTTCCTTCCTGTGCCCAGGTTCCTCCCTTCCTGGGCCTCTATCCAGCTCCCTCTGGCAGGCTCCATCCTCTGGGGGCTCCCCTCCCACCTTCGCTCAGCTCAGGCGCGTGTGTTTGCTTGCTCTCTGCTCTTCATCGTGGTTAGTGTGCCTAGCATCAGTTTTGCCATTTCTCCACCGTCAGGGCCACCTCCTTTGGTGCTAAGCAGGTCACGTTACCTCCAGCACTTTCTCGTCTGTGCAGACCGACTGTCCCCATTAAACACTGAGTGCCATCCCCTTCCCCAGCCCAGGTTCCCCATCCCACTTGCTGTCTGAGGTCCAAGGCCTCCATGGACCTCAGGTGAGTGGGGTCACGTCCGTCTTGCTGCCTGGCTTCTCACCGCAGCGCGAGTCCTCAGGGCCCCTCCTCCTTTTGTGGGAGGCTGAATGATGTTCTGCCCCGTGGCTGGGCCACGTCTGCTCTCCATGGAGGGGCACCGGCGACTCCTGCCTCGTGGCTCTGTGGATTGGCGCTGCGTGGAGGGTACTTGGCCAAGGTTTTGTCGCAGTGAGGTGAAGAGCTAAGTGCGGTTGACTCGGATGCTGGGGGGACACCGTGTCGCGAGTGTCGCTTCACTGACGTTGTCTGTGAAGCCATCCAGCTGCGGCCGCTGCCCCCTGGCTTTGCCGGCCTGGGGGACAGGCCTGTGCTGCTCCCTGTACGCCTTCTGCATGTGGTTCTGAGTGGGTCCTAAAGTCTGGTTCTGTGCCCTTGATTCTGACCAGGACTAGCTGGAATCTTGCTTCTCTTCTGGTCCCCAGCTGGACAGCTCTGGCTCTGGGGAAGGACTGTGCCCAGCAGAGGAACACTTGGCTCTCCCAGACCCTCAGCTTGGTGGAAATGTGATGCTGCTACCTGTAAAAATGTACCCTCCTACGATGAGATCTGGCCAGCAAGACTGGGCCAGAGCTGGAGTGTGTCTGTGTGTGTGTGTGCGCGCACGCGCGTGCGCACGTGTGTGTGTGTGTGTGTGTGTGCGCACGTGTGTGTGTGTGTGTGTGTGTGTGTGTGTGTGTGTGTATGGGGGGGTTGGCTGTCATTTTCAGTGGACTCCTGGAGCCTAGGCCTAGGGTAGGGGCTTCTTTTTAGCTTCAGGCCCCTTTGCTACCTGGAGGCTTCTAGTTTTATTACCTGCTGGAAGCAGTTGATAGAAAACACCTAGAATACCGCAAGCTCAGAGCGCCAGCCTTGGGCGCCCCCTGAGGGGGCAGAAGCCGAGATGCTGGCCCATCCCCAGCTGGAGGAAGGAGCTTTCTTCCACACCACTGGCTGGTGCTCCAGGCCCACTTTGCCTGTGCCAGGTCACTAAGAGCCCCCAAAGCGGTGGCTTTGGAGGTGACCCAGGGAGACCAGAGCAACCAGGGCATCAGGCCAAGGGCGACCCTCCCTTCCTCCTTGGTTGGTTCAACAAAGCCCCTTTAGAAGGTTTCTCCGTTGGGGGCTCCAGAAGCCAGGGCTTGCCCCTGATGCACAGGCACAGCAGGTGGCACAGCAGGTGGCGCTCTTGGGGGCTGCTCTGGGTGGAGACTCCAGGAGTGTAGAGGCAGGGTGACATCTAGAGCTGCCGGGACGCAGGCTGGCCTTGTGCTCTCAGGAGGAGCTGTGGGTCATCCTGCATGGCTGGCACCTTCCCCTGCTCTGCACCTTCCCTCCCACCACCCCTCACCTGCCATCCTAGCACTCTGAATTAAAAGAATAGGGTTCGAGGGTCTAAGCCAAAAGCACGCATCCTAGGAATGCAAAGAAGGACTGAGATGCCCCGGGAAGGCCCGGGTCTGTGCCGCTGGGAGAGGGCCGAGCCGCGGGACCGCCTGGTGCCCATGGCTGACTGGCTCGGGGGCCTGGAACCCAAGGTCACACCAGGGCTTCCCCAGGCTGGAGGCTGGTGCTGGATCTGGTCCAGCTTTCCTTTGCTTTCTTGAGTGAGCACCCGGTGAAGGGCTGATTTGAGAGCAGACACCCCCAGACGGCTGTGGGAAGTTTGACTTTCAGGCTAAGCTCAGGAACGTGGCCTCTGTGCTCCCTCAACACGTCTCTAGCTGGTGGTCACAGGGTCTCTGATGGGTGACTTCTGTGCCTTCTGTCTTGTAGCCCTTTGTTTTGACCTCTCCGGGTCAAAGCCAAAACCTGAGCCCAGACAGACAGCCGCACGACCTCAGCATCGACATCTACAGCAGGATGCTCTTCTGGACGTGTGAGGCCACCAACACCATCAACGTCCACCGCCTCGATGGGGATGCCATGGGCGTGGTGCTCCGGGGGGAACGCGACAGGCCAAGGGCCATCGCAGTCAACGCGGAGCGAGGGTAGGAGGCCGACGGGGCAGGTGGTGCTGCACCTGGCTCAGGCCTCCTGCAGTGCACACCGGGCAGCTGCTGGGGCTGGGGGGTGATCTGCCATCCCACTTCCAGTCTGCAACTCCCCAGGCTCCCCAGCTGGAGCGGGCACAGGCCTCAGGACGACAGAGTCACGCAGAATGGCACAGGCTTAGCAGAGGAGGGGAGACGGGAAGTGGGCCCAGGAAGACTTAGGAGGGCAGTGTCCGAAAGATGGCCTTCTGACCGTGGGTCTGGTCGATGCGTCAGACCCCAGCCCTGTGCAAGCCCCTTCCCTGGGGTCCCGGCTGGAAGCGGGGTCTTCACTCCCGTGGGTCCCACAGGGGCTCCTGCAGCTGCTCCCTTCCCAGCAGGCCCTCAGAGTTTGATGGGAGGTGCCCAGGACAGGTCGACAGGCCTGGAGTGGAAACCAGGGCAGGAGGGGGTCCTAAAGCCCCATGGCACGAGGCTCAGAAACAACAGAGTGTGCAGAGGGCTGTGTAGGAGCATGGGGCCTTCTTCAAGTCCCTCAGATCTGACGTGCAAGCCAGGAGTTAGACTTGTCGAGGGACTGCCTGGTGGGGCCTGTGCCAGTGTTGACTGGAGCAGGCACAGTCCCCCGCAGTGTGAGCTGGACCCCTGCACTTCCTGCTCAGGTGACCTTGGGCAGGTGGCTTTAACCCCTCAGCCCCTCAGTTTCCCTGTCTGTGGGCACAGGAGCGCCCGTGGGGACTCTGCCGTGCGCAGAGGGCTTGGAGCAGAGTGCTGGCATTTGAGGAGGCTGCCCAGGGACTGAGGGAGCCGGCCTCGAGGATGCAAGGGCTCCTGAGCTGTGCCCAGATTACTGTCCTGTGGCTGCCCTACGAAGCCCCAGGGTTTGGAGGTGACTTAGGACGACAGACAGACAGATGTTTATCCTCTCATAGTCCCAGAAGTCTGGAAGCAAGTTTTTGGCAGGGCCACATCCCCTCAGCACCGGGGCGGGGAGTGGGGTGGGGGTCGTCCCGCTTCAGGGCTCTCCTGGCATTCTGTGACTTTGGTCTCGTCACTCCAAGCCCTGCTCTCAGGGCACGCTGGCCTCTTCTCTCCGTGGCCTTCTGTCTTCCCACGGGACATACGGTCCACCCTGAGCCAGCATAACCTCATCTTGATCCTTAGTTACATTTGAGAAGACTCTGCTTCCAAATAAGCTCCTGTTCTGGGGTTCTGGGGTGGACGTGGACTTTGGGGGACACCATTCCTTCTGGCGTAGGGCATAACCTGTCAGGTTCCGGGCCAGCCCCGGGAGGCAGGGCTCTGACTGGGTGCCTGCAGGGTCAGGGAGGCCTGGTCGGCTGCGGAGCTGCAGTGGCCGGGGAAGCTCCTGACCTGTGCGTCCCCCTGCCCTCCCGCAGGTACCTGTACTTCACCAACATGCAGGACCGAGCAGCCAAGATCGAGCGCGCAGCTCTGGACGGCACGGAGCGTGAAGTCCTGTTCACCACGGGCCTGATCCGCCCCGTGGCCCTTGTGGTGGACAACACGCTGGGCAGGCTCTTCTGGGTGGACGCAGACCTGAAGCGCATCGAGAGCTGCGACCTGTCGGGTACGTGCCCAGGCCTCCCTGGTCATCGGCACCTTGGCAGTCCACAGGTGTCCCTCCGGGAAGCCACGGCATCTTGTTAGCAGCAGCAGTTGCTGCCTGGCACTGTGCTGGGGCCCTTGGCACATCCTGTGTATCCCACCCCCTGAGCTGCAGGGCGGGGTCCCAGAGGAGCCCAGGGCTGGAGGGAAGTGAGGGTT